TATTTTTACTATATATCCTTTTTTTTGTTTCTTCCTGGGAATTGTAACACTAATGGGCTTTATTTTATAGTACACTCTAGGAAATATCCTGCCTCGCATCCTATTTTTTTCCAATTTACTTCTTAGATTTTTATCTTAAAAACTAGTTTTCACATTTTTATCATCCTAAGTTTACTTCCATGTCCTGTCTAAGTTCTTAGGCTGTGACTTGAGTCATTAACGAATTATATTCAGTACTAATATTAGTCGAAGTCTAATTGCTGCTGATCAATTCTTAAGAAATAGAAATGTAATTCCAATTTAGTGTGAATAATATCTAATTTAGTGCTATTCTGAAATACAAAAGAACTAAAACAATTTTATAATAAGTAATTGGTGACATAACACAGGTATACACATGCACATATACTTTGATTTTAATATCATTAGATAAAAACAAAACCAAGTCTACAGAAGAGAATAGAGAAATTGAGTTACTTAATTCAGATAGGTTGTGGATTTATCCCATTTTTTTCCCCTGTAAACTAGCTAAAAACAAACCAACCAAAACCCCAAAAAAAGACCGAAGACGTTTATTTTGCAATTTTCTAAATGTAAAATAAGTTTTTCCCCCTATTATTAGTTTTTCATGTTACTGAACTCAACAATAGTTTATTCAGATCATATAAAACAGACACATGATGTACATATGGCTAAAACGGATATTTGCTATATCTATCTGATATCAAAAACAGATGTAAAAGAATATTCCATTATTCAGAGCAGCGGATGCTGCAGGGAATAAAGACAACACGCTCTGGATGCACTGCTTTCTGGTGAGCTAACTGGACAGGCATCTGATCCTCATCTGAGGGAGCGAATAGTTAGTTAATGGCTCCCATTAGACTGCTAAATGTGAATTGACTCAGAGCACATATTGGCTGAAACTAGGTAAACTCATCATGGTTTTCGGATGAAAAGGCCCATATTTTCCATCTGGCTATGAAAAGGGCCCATGTGTCTGGAACACCAGATGTGTGAGGGTGCTGTACCAGAACCACCGCAGCAGGTAGTTTTTTTAAAGAAGAGAAAGCTATTTTCCCTTGGTTGTAATCAGTAATATGAGAGCAGGACTGATTTGCTTACATTCTAAAAGGAGTCAGAGTAAGAATTCCACTTACTGTTTATATCTTCTTAATCACTGTAGCTTCAATAGTCTTTTAATATCACAGAAATATTGAAGACACACACATTGAATGCATTCAATTTGTATATTGCCTGGAATTTGGTTGGACAATCCCTCATAGAGATATTTTTTCACATTCTTGACACCCCCCTCTCCCAAAATACAATATCGCAATGATTGGTGAAGAATGAAGTGTCTATATTGTGAATTCATGAAGAGGAAACATTGTTGCAGTAAATTAAAATAAATAATATGGTTTGGCGGCCCTTCTGAGGCTAGCTTCTCTTGAAACTGTTTAATTTATCAATACATTAGACTTAATTTTTAGTTTATTTCAGTTTTCTTCTTTTTGAGAGAGTGGTTACTTTTAGCTTTGTTAAGAGCTTTAAATGTTTTGTTTTGTTGTGGTTTTTTGCCCTTGATTATTGAAACACAGAATAGGAAGTCCCATATTCTGGGTAGTCTGGTCTATGGCTGCCTAGGCAGGTTAAGCTGCCTTTCAGCTGAAATGATGCCATTAAGTGTAAGTAGAAATGTCTCCCCGAGGGGAGATTGAGGAGAGTATTATAAATCCTTTAGACTTGAGAGAGTTAATCATTCATGTAATTGGAGAGGCATTTTACACCTTTTAAAACATCCTAGTCCTAAAACCTTTCTATTTTGAGTCTATAGAAAGTTTTTCAGAGTTAATCATGCATGCAATTAAACATTTTACACCTTTTTAAACATTTTAATCCTCAAACTTTTCTATTTCAAGACAGTAGAAAGTTACATTCAGGGTAGCCCGGTTGAGAAGACAATTTTCAAGCCAGTCTTTAACACCCATTTTAGTCAATAAAGAGAGACACCTATGGAGACTGGCCTGACAATCTGCTTCACAAAGTCGCAACCTTGAAATCCCTAGGAAGGCTAGTTCTACTTCACAGTAAAATTCACAACGTCACCAGGAGTGTGAACTGACTCAAAACCCCAACCCTCACTCACTGCCATCGAGTCCATGCTGACTCAGCGACGTGTGGCTTCCCACGACTCGTTCTTTAAAAGTGACAAAGCCCAGTTCTTCCCCCGAGGAGCTGCCGGTGGTTTCAAACTGTGGACCATGCGAATTGCAGCCGTCCACCCCCCACCCCCCAAACAATAGCAATGAAGCATATCAAACTCCCATAGACTTGCCACACAAGTTGCCTGTATTATGGAATTGTAAAGTTGAAGTTAAATCACGGCCACCTCTGGGCGGTTGTGACGCGGAGACATTACCCATTGAGAAATTATCATCCTAGTTCAAAATTTTAAAAATGAACAGAAAAAAAAATAGTGGCCAAGCCATTTCAATCCTTGATATTTAGGTAATGATATTACTGGTAAATGGTCCAGGGAGGCAGAGCTGGGGAAGGACGAAGCATGATTTATGGCATTTCTGTGTTTCTGTAGTCCAGATATTTTCACCATGACAGCAGAATGGGACGACTTGATATTGGACAATTTTCAAATTAAGAAACTGGAAGATGAGTCCAAGGGAAAAATGTTATCAGCTTATATCTTTCTTCTGTCCCTTTTTGATTTGTTACATTATTTGTATACAGTTAATGCCATTATCATAGGTACTGCGAGGAGGCAAGGATGCTAAAACTCCATCTTTTCCAATTTTTGTCGGGAATATTGTTGTTGCTAAGTTTTTTAGGAACAAAGTTCTAAGAATTTTTCAAAAGTGCTTTAATCCTTATCTTTTTGCGCCAGTAAACAGTAGAAACTCTGACCTGTGCTGATAGTACAATTTCTTTAGTGACTCAGAGGTAAATGTTGTTGCAGAACCACGTCCATCATTCAAAAAAGAAGGGGACAAATGGCCATCTTTTAATCAAATATGAAATCTTTGAAGTATTACATGTACCGTGACCTGTACATAAGGAATTTGCCACATTTGTGTTGTATTTGGTTCTCCTTACATGTATAATAAAATCTACTTTAACTGCATATCAATGTCTTAGACTGAGTTCTCTCTCTGTGTATATGTACATACATATGAAGATAGAGAGAGATTTCAAAGAACTAGGATAGTTCATACAATTGTGAAGACTGGCCAGTCCCAAATCTGAGTCAGATGGCAGTGGAAAGTCTTCTCTTAAGTTGCCTCGTAGCAGGAGCTGAGGGACCCAAATCTTCAGGTCAGCCGGAAAGCTGCTGGCTTGGTTCCAGACCCAGAACTCAGAGACCATCGAGGCAAATGCAGGACCAAGAGCAATTTTTGCTAAAACATCCATATATACTGGATGCAGGACACAGTACTAAGGAAACATTCCTGTCAACTGTTTGCATATATCAGATCGCAAACAGGTGAATGATGTCACATGACAGATGATGACAGATGTCACATCTGTCAAGCCCCAGAGAATCATGGTCTAGTCGAGTTGACACATGACCGTAACCATCACAATCAGCATAAAGTAGCTGCTGTTAGCTGCCATTTAGTTGATGCGATCTCGGTGTTTGCAGCACATACTTGCTCCTGAAGGTTTCCAAGGCTGTGAACATGGGGAACTTTTATCTCCCAGATGTCTCCAGATTAGAACTGTTGAGTACGTAACTGCATGGACCATCAAAATGCTTCTATCACATGTGTAAACATCATGTTTTGTGAATTTTAAATTGTTTTTTTTAATGCTCTGGTAAATGATTTTAAGGGATTTAAACAGATATGAATCAAATCTTACATATCTACAGATTATATGATAAATTTTAAATATTTGGGAAAAAAAATTTAAGCTAAATCAGTTGATACAGTTCCACAATTTATTTTAAGCATAAGTTTTCATTAAAGAGTTGTGTTGCATTAGGAACTGTCCTATGGTTTTACATCATGATTTATGAAAAGAATAGTCTTAGTTATTAAAAGTAAAAGGTGTGTTACCGTTCTCTATATTTCAAAAGAATGGGCTCAGTTGGCTCAGCAATTCAAATCTACCAGCTGCTCCGCAGGAGATAGATGATATTTTCAGCCCTCATTTACAGCCTGGGAAACGCTATCGTTTGCCTCTGCCCTACAGGGGCTCTGTGAGTTGGAATTGACTAGATGGCAGCAGGTTTGAGGTTTTATGTTTCAGAAAGAGGTACCTGGATGCCACAAATTATTTGTGGTATTTAGCTGGTAACCAATTACTTGACAATTCAGAATCACCAGCCTCTCCATGGGGGAAGGACAGGCCTGAAGATCTGCTTCCATAAATACTCCAGCCAAGGAACCGATGGAGCAGTGTCGACTTTCACAAATGGGTCACAATGAGTCAGAATGGACTTTACAGAGGAACACAAGACAGCATGCTTTAGAAACTATAGAATTTTGATGATATAAGATATGGAAAAAAGAATCCATAACTTACCAAGGGTTTATGAGGGAGGGAGGGTGGGGAGGGAGAGAGAAGAAATGGGGAGTTGATATTAGGGGCTCAAGTGGGAAGAGAATGCTTTGAAAATGATGATGGCAGCATATGTGCAAATGTGCTTGAAACATTGGAGGAATGTATGGATTGTGATAAGAGATATAAGAGCCCCTAATAAAAGTTTTTTTAAAGAAAGAAACTATAGAATTTTATCTCTGCAGTATAATAAATGTTAGAGATTTTTTTTGTCTCCGTGGAACTGCACATTTAAATGAAAGTGTTCACCATTTTTGTCTATGTGAATATAAAACAACCTGAAAACCCGCTATCCACAAATAAACTAAACACGGGAACATATTCCAGTGCTGTGTGTTCTCTGGCTTCTCTGCTTGCATAGGGTCCGCAAACGATCTCCCTCATCATGACCCCTCTGAGACCTTCTTTGCTTCTCCTCCTAGAATGGGCTCAATGCTCTTCATCTGGCTGCCAAGGAGGGCCATGTCGGACTCGTTCAGGAGTTGTTGGGAAGAGGGTCTGCTGTGGACTCTGCTACAAAGGTAATGCTTGTGCATTTATTTTCCTTAGGCAGAAATGGTGTATAGCATCTTTTCCCTGGGTGTACTCGTTCACAGTATAATAAATGACGATGTAGTGGATAGTAATAAACATAACAACAACAAACAGGGGAAACATTTGGCAATTCCAAAGATGTTAAATAGATAAGTTCATACTATGCAACAAGTGCCTGGCATGGGACATCAAGAGAGAATAAACTTAAAAACATTTTTAGAAATTTACATCATCTCTTAGCTACAGCAAATAATTATTGGAAAAATATTTAAAGAACAGTGGTTTGAAAATTTATCAAAGTCAAGACCTCATAGTTACAGATGGGTTTAGTGGAGCAGGAATGGGGTCATGATTAGGATATGTGGGTTATGGTAGACATTGGAGTTAACAAGATTGGTCCAGGGGAGACTCCACTCTCCCATCCCTACCCCCCCACCCCCACCCCAGACACACCCACACCCACACCCACACACACTCACGAGCACATGATGTTCACTTTCAGGTAGATGCCAAGGGAGGTTGTCCTTCCCAGCGCTAATCAAGAGACAGGAAGTTAGGAAGTTCCCAGAATCCTCATGAGAAAGTGACGCCCATACAGAGGTATCATTGGCTATGACCTGATTGACAGGCCAGACTCCACCCCTTCACTCATAGTACCCTCACATTGACACCAGGTTATGTACCTACCCTAATATCCCTCCCTGGTCAATGATCAGCGTTTCAATGAAAGCTTTATCCATATGGGAATTCTGCAGATAGAGTTTGGGTTTTCACTGTCATCCATAGCCTTCTGCTTACTGGGTGCTCAGAATTTAATCTCTAGTATACTTCCCTCTTCTTAACATGGGTTTTACTACTTGTAATTCTTGGATTACCCAGGCCGGTAGACTTATGTGCAGACTTAGCTGACATCTCACTTAGATGGCTGCATTTTTTAAGACAAGCTGTTCTCTCTGGTAGCTGGGAACCATGTGCTTTCTTCATTTCACTTTGCTATAACACCCATATCTTCCATGATCCCCTCATGGGTTTAAGTATTGAACGGGGCTACATTATAAGAACTAGTAGTTCTTAGATTTAAGCTTACAATTATGAGTGAGCGCAGAATCTATTCTTATATCTATGATATGTTTGTGTGTGTGTGTGTGTGTGTGTATAAAACCTTAGTCTACTTTAGTGACATTATTATCCGCTTTTTGAGAGATAATATAAGTAACCTCTTTAAGAAGTTTCATAATTATGATAAAAGTATCATTAACATTTAATGGTACAGATTGTAAAATACTATTTAGACAATAGAAGTATTCATATATAGGAAAGACTTTTAGAGTAAAATACATGAAGTGTTTACTTGTACACTTTATTAAAATGCATACTGTCTGAATGTTTTAGAAATCAATTAGTGTTTTCGAAATCAATGAGGGTTAGACACAAGGCACGGATTTCAGTAACACTCATTCACTAAGGCAAGACTGTATCTGTAGAACTAAAACATGTCACAAAAGCTAAGAACATTTGAAAGTGGCAACTATGTGGTGGTCATAAGTTGCCAATTATTGGACAATCTCAAAAGCAAGAGGTTTGAACTGAAGTCCTATGACTTC